GGATATTACATGGAATTTTAGAAAAGCTAAGTTGGGCTAATTTCTTTGGGAGATACATATATATGTTTTATACTATGTAAAGATATTATAATTTGGTACACGTCCATTCAATGTTGGTGCAAAAAATACTTATAAATATTTAATTTATTAAAGTTGACGGCTTCGGTAGTCTAGCGGTTTAGCACACAGCATTACTTCCGATGTTCGCGGTTTCGTTTCCTCGCCCGGTACAAAGATTTATATTCATAAGTATGATTATATCAGTCTGGTTGTTTTCTGCGTATATTTTGTATGCTTTTATAAATAAAAAAGAACATTGAGTAGACAGAAAAACATACAGTTGACAAGATCTACTGTATTGGTGGCAATACGTGGGTCTCTACAAACAATAAAAAACATGAATTTCAATCACGTGCAACGTACGTGTTAAATGGTATTGTTGTAACTGATAATTTATTCCCTTTGCTTTTATCTTCGGTTATTATATGTTTTTCATCCGATATATTATCTTTTCAATCTATTGATCTGTGTAACTCGCAGTGTATTATTCGATATGATTACTGCGTTCATTTGATTTCAAATATAAGTACTTTTATGATTTATAAAATCCGATTTTGATGATGCTCTTAAGATTGTATAATCGATTACCATATTCTTTCATTATCTATCTGTCTATCTATGTAATCTATCAGTTCTTCTGCACGATGAATGACAATCAAAAGCATTTATATTTATTAATAGTTCAGCCCGTGGTTTCACCCGCATGAAATTTTATAACGTATATGTTATTTAATATAATCTTATGTATAAGCTATATTATTGTAAAGTTTCATTAAAATCCATTCAGTGGTTATTGCGTGAAAGAGTAATAAATATCCATCCATACTCACAAAATTCCGCGTTTATAATATTAATAAGATTATTATAAATAAGGATTATTATTATTTATATATAGATAGACATAACGTTGTGACTTTCTTACATATTACAATTATGTTAATGTATACAACACTCACATAATTATAACCTATGTCCCTCTGAAGTAATGTATTACATTTCAAAAATTTTTTATATCGGTCAAGTATGTAGTTGAGTTTAAGCATTACAATATGAGTAACCAATCATTCTTATATATAATACAAATCAATATTATAGGACCCATAATGTTATGTCGATATTAATTCTATTATCTATTTATTGTATATTTAATTGTTTTATATAGTTGATCACTGGCATGAAAGTCTTATAGTATGTGACTATTATTCTATTTTTTTAAACCAGTGTTTTAACACAATATACATGAGAATTATGTATTGAAAATATTAATAATATAAATACTAAAAATAGTCTGTCGTACAACACATAAATAATTATTGTACCTATTATTATTGTTGTTTCGATAAAGCAAAATACAAGTAAATCTAAATATGGTTGTCTACTGAGTAATTGTTTACAATATATAAATATATATAGATATGTATATACACATATATAACAAATAAATACTATGTTTCCACATCGACAATTAAAATTTAAGTAAATACAAGTACATTCAAAGACCTTGGTCAAAATTGATGGACAGCAATTGTTACTATGCAAAAACTAGCCGAAAATCTGCGAACGACCTACTTAGACACAATTACACACACAAATTATACTCGACCTTAACGACCTCACAAAAAACCGTGGTTCACTAACTAATAAGTCTAAGAAACCCCACCTATTACAACCGGTGTGTTCATAAAGCTCAGAATTCTTTGAATATTATTTCACAACGTAACATAACCTTCCGCAATCGCTGTCGACCTCGCTCCTATCACGTTCAAGGTTCGGTTCCTTGTTGTAGTATTGTATTTTAGACCTTATGTTCGTGGGTATAATGCACAAATCTGTCGTAACTACTGACTGAGTCACGATGAAATTTCGAAATTCTCTGATGAGCTTATTCTTCGTCTGGTTAACTAGAAATTTATAGGTACGTAGAACATTCATACAGGAGGCAAGTTCTTTGAATTGTGATAACTTTTTTTTATATTTGCAATTCGTGTGCCAAGATTTACCAATCCATTATGTTTTATTTCAAAATGTTCATCTATGATGACCTCTATGGTGAATTGCTTTGCGTAATGTAGGTCCTCGGTTCGATTCTCGGTGATGTTAATTTTAGAAATTATATTTTATAGATACATACAAAGTTGTATTGAGGTAGGAGATATTTATACACTTTGCACATCTACCAGCTTCCCACATATATTATACATATAAATCTTCCTCTTGAATCACTCTACCTATTGCTAAAAACTGCATTAAAATCCGTTGCGTAGTTTAAAAGATATAAGCGAACAGACAACGGAAGCGGCTTCATTTTGTACTATGTAATGATTAACATTGTATATTTCTTATGCTAATTGCGCGGGCATTGGTAGTGTAGTATTGTAGCTTGTTATTTTTACAATTGTTTATCGTTTTTCTATTGCTTGACCTTAGTCCCATTTATTTGGGGTCGGCCCCAATCAATCTTTGGTCAATCTTCACCACTACGGTCTTTCCTAGTCCTCAGGGGTGTTATTTCGGTTAAGTCTCTATTAATAACAAACATCCATATAAGACGGGGTCTACCGCGTCCTCTGTGCTGGGTACTCATGTTAAATATTGTTCGTGTCATGAGGTCGGATGGTCGCGGCATGACATGACCGTACCACCTTAGGCGACTCTCCAAAACCTTATTTCTACGATTGTTTATAATACTCTTAATACTGGTATGTATCTAAATAGCAAACGGTCGCCAAGGTTCCGCGCACGGAAGCGACCATTCGACACTCTTCGGCTCCCGTCGGCAATTGTCGGCTGTCCAGAAAAATATTTACACACGCGTTATTGTTGCTACGTTCATAATTATCTTGTTTGTTGAGTACAATCCACATTGATACAATGTTTGTTTCTTCTACGAATTTCTAGATAATAAACAACAAATAGCAATTCTAATTGGTTCGTCTGCAATTAGATTTCATGTGTACTTTCATCGTTTAGCTAAACTAATACATATTGTGAAGAGGAAAGATTGATTTTTGCTTGTGTATGCTAATATTTAGATGTTAGGTGTAGATATTTATGTTTGATGCATATTGCATATATGATGCTGATTATAGAGTAGTGCAGCCGCGCTTTAATTATTATTATATTTTTATATACATACGATTTTATACATTTATTTAATACTAACACAAATAATACATTCAATTATATGTACATAATCAATTAACCTAGAAACCTACTCTACTTATGTATTTGTTTATTTAATGTACAGTTAATTTAATGAATATAAAGTTATTAGTCACGCCAATATGTAAAGATTTAAAACATATAGTTTTTGCCAAAACATTGCCTAATAACAGTAAGATATAAAAATCGAATGAAGTTCGAACTTTCATCACTGCTGAAACTAGTACGTATTTACGTATTTACTATACTACTGCGTACTATGGACACAGTAGTATAATTGTAATAGTAAATATCGTAATAAATACTTAGATAGGAGGGGTGAGAGGGGTGAGGGAGGGGTTGGTAGCTAGATTGGTAGGATTGTTACCAATGTACCATGTCATTAGACCGTCACGCGGTAACACCTGGAAACCATCGTGGTGAATTAGTAATGGATTATACACAGCGGGTTAACCTGACTTCATTCTCAGTCTATCTGTCTAATGGTCCATCAGTGAAGACGGGGGCATCATTCTATTTTATACGTTAAAAAATTACATAAAACATAACAGACTTCATTATGGGGTTCAGCTGCAGACTCCAACATAAGCAAAGGACTAAAAATATCTTGAAACAGCGCATCAATGCGCCTTGGTTTGCGAAATCATCTGAGGTTCATGAGTATCACAATACAAACACAGTAGCCGAAGAGATAAAACATTGCTGTTTCAAATAAAGGACACGGGTAGGAAATCATCCTAATGTGCTGGCCACGACAACATCGTTGCTTTATAAGCGTAGGTGACTGGAACTCGATGACTAATTAGGACCACCTAAAGAGACGATGATTCTACCGGGAATCACATTCTACCCGCGTCATAACTTTTAACACATCTGTTCATAGTCTTGGACTGATTGCGAAGATGGACGCAGAAAAAAGCAGTCCTTTGACCGTAAGAATGCATCATAGAGTGTAAAGCAAGGGGGCGAAAGGAATTGTTGGTAATGTGAAGTCGGTGAAGTTGGTGAAGTGAACATCCTGCACTGGTGCCCCGCCAACGTAGCCGTTAGCGCAAGCGGTACCATTCCATAATCATCCATTTAAAAAAATGTAAAGCAAAAGAAAACAAATAAATGAAACGATCACAAGGTAACGCGACCTTCGTAAAATGAAAACTTTACGCTCCATTTCGTGTGGGTAATCAAACGGCGATGTAGCCAGTTATCGCAACGCAGCCTGCCGTGAATGAGAAGCTCGATTGATTTGTAGAAATCTAGTTGAGTCCCGTGGCGCTCCCAGTCTGAAATATAGGTCACGTTACTCGCTGTAATGACAGCTTTCTGTAGGTTCAAGAATTTTTAAAATCGATCCATTACTTTTTGTGTTTATACGTTACATAATTTTAGTGTAATATAATATGGATATCTTAATATAACATGGTTATATCTTAATATATCTGTTCTTCTCTTACTTAGTACTAAGATCGACATAGAGCTGAGCTGAGGTTCGAAACCCTAGCGGTGCCCTCAGACTAAACGTATTGGTCAGGCGGGAGTTGGCCTTCAGTCGCTTCATAAGTCCTTCCTTTGGTTTAGAGTGCCATCTGCACTCGCCCCCTATCTTCCGGTGAAGCTGTAAAGGCCAGCTGCGGCCACCATTAGAGTAGTCCGAAAAAAAAAACAACATAGTAAAACGTCATATGATTCCGTATTTTCCGTAATATTCCGGTATAAACAATGACCATTCTATGATTTAAAAAAATGTGTTTTAACTAATTTGACGGTATCTTTGTTCACAGGCTGTCGACTGGTGGTCAGTTGGTGTACTCACATACGAATTGCTGACTGGCGCGTCACCTTTCACCGTCGAGGGTGAGAAAAATACTCAGCAAGAGATAACGAAGCGTATAGTGCGGTGCAGCTATCCAGTGCCGACTGACGTCAGCCCTGAAGTGCAGGATTTTATTAGGAAGTGAGTACAACTTACATTACTTTTTTATTATAAAGAAATGGTTTACTCCACTGCGGTAATGATATACGCTGGCGATAGCTAATAATCCATGGATAATGATAGGGTGAACATGATGTCAGGTCAGTTAGCCCATCCTGAGCAGGTATTTATCACCATGATTTCCCTTAGAAACCATGGTGATAAATACCTGACATGGTACATTGCTAGCAAATGTTTTGTTTGTTTGTTTGTAATTCTTTATTGTACAAAATATTAATAGATACATATGTCTTATAAAAAAATAAATAGATGGTACAATGGACTTACATTTTGTCTACTAGCAAATGTTTTTTGTAAAAAAAAAAACTAAAAAGTCAATATTAATCTATTTCCAATTTGACCGCAGATTAACAAAAGAATATGCGTAAGTGTGTCAAATACATGGTAGGGTGTGTATTTTTTTTATTGAATTAATGTATTTTGTAAGCAAAATTGAAAAAAAAATTGGTATTCTGTACTCCTTCTCTATATAAATTATAAATGGGTAAAATTCCATTTATATCACGATGGTTTCCAAGGGGAACCTCGTGGAGGCCAACCTGACATGATTAGCTAGCAATGGGTCTACATTTTTTACAACAAATACCCTTTCCTTCCAATGACACCCCTATAGTACTTAGTATTCCCCGTTTTAATAGTATGATATTATTTTTACAGGCTTCTGGTCAAAGATCCTCGCCGGCGTCTTGGCGGTGGTGAAGAGGACGCCGGTGAATTGAAACGGCATCCGTTCTTCCAGGTCAGTTTTTTTTTCTTACTATGACGGAGTTGCCAGACTAGCTTATTGTTCCAATTACGAAAAAAATATAATCACACTGAATTATTTGTGTTTAGTAAGTATACATGACGGCTGACGACTCCAACCTACTGGTCTAGCGGTTTAGTGTGTCTCCTTTGGTTGAGGGTTCGACGCCGCGTGCGATGATAACATTTGTGTTCATAAATATGTTTGTATCTGGGTGTTTTTTATATATTTAAGTATTTATTATCAGTTGGTATGAGTACATAACACAAGCTTTGCTTAACTTGATGAGCTACATAGCGCAGAGTGAATTGTCCTGGGTTATTAAAAAATTTTTTGCATTCAACAGAATCTAGACTGGGAGGCAATTTCACGTCGAGAAATTGCTGCCCCCTTCGTGCCTCAGCTCTCGCACGCGGCTGACACGTGTAATTTTGCTGATGAATTCACCAGGATGCCGCCGACTGACTCACCAGCACAGGCGCCCAAACATCATGACAAACTGTTTCTAGGTAAATATAGTGAAAATACATAGATAGATACAGATAGATAAAACGTGTATTGCCAATATTTTACTGCAATACAATTTTTTAATGGAATGGTGCACTCGCTTGCGCTAGCGGGTACTAGTGGAGGGTGATAAGATGAGTATGAGATGATGAGTCGGAGTTGGTACATGGAGATGAGATATGGTACATTGCTAGCAGTGGGGTTACGACTCTAAATTTCCCCCCCTTCACAAATACAAAGTGTTTTAGTGATTCGTTCTGTTTGTGATAAGCCTACGTTCTGAAAGAGTTGTAGAATTTAAAAAATGTGACTATTCAAAAATGCTTACATTAAGTTTATTTGACTGAAGTTTAATTCTATTTCTATTCTGTTACAGGCTACTCATACGTCGCTCCGAGTATACTGTTTTCGGAAAATATAATATCTGATCAAATATGGATGCAGGCTACTGGACAGAAGCACGACAAATTAAAAGGATGGGTGGCCAAGGTACAGACATTTTCTATAAATCTCTAAGTTTAAGAGCCCAGGGCCCATGTATAATATAGTGTGTAGTGGCCATTCAAAGTGTTTTTGTATTGTTTGTACTAATTATATTGAGCTTCTAAGCTTAGTAACTTGGTATTTATCCTATTGAATAAATGGTTGATTTTAAAGTGCAGGATAAAGAAACGTTCAATTACTTCAAAAGAAACTTGATATAGGAGTGAAATGCCATAACTCAGAAGAATGTAAATATTTAATTTCCACTTTACCTAAAAGAATAAGTTAAAGTTGAAATTAAAGCTTTGAAGTTTATGAAATATTAATGTCATTATTGTGAAAATTAATATAATTAATTTAATGTAACCAATTGTCTTTGCTATGCGATTTTGTTAAATATATTTAATACATTGCTTTCTTTGCAGGACTCGCCATTCTTCCAGAAATATGCAGTGGACCTGAGCACACCTCTACTTGGGGACGGATCGTACTCCGTATGTAGAAAATGTATACACAGACAGACGGGCAAGGAGTATGCTGTTAAAGTGAGTTATTTTAACAAATTATATCCTCATTTTTAATTAATTTAAAATGCAAAAGTTCATGACAATCAGGTAAGGCGTTAGGTCTTTAAGCGAAATAAAAATAATCCAAATATATTTACTATCACATTGTAATAATAGTCTTTTTGTTTTACTCATTATTATTATTATTTTATATTTGTATATTATATGTTTTATATTTATATTTTTTAAATTGTAATTTGTGTGCATCTGTACTGGGGGCAACTGAAAATCAGCACTGGAAACTGTTTTCAGCAATATGCTGAGTTGTCCACTTAGACTCTGTTTTGTATGGTAAATTGTCGATTGTATTTTTTTTGTCATTATTGTTGTGTCGACGAGTAAATAAAATTCTATTCTATTCTATGTATCTAATAATTATTATTATAGCTTTGTTTTTACGAAATATCTCCTTTGGAAAGTTTGCACTCTTCTCTGAGAAGATAAAAACCATCGCTCCTAAGAATATCCTACAATTCTTGTTCCTGACAGGTCTACGTAGCAAACTCTGAAAAAAGACGAGCACAATAGATCTATATAGGTCGCAGTGCTACAGGTCGAAGCAGAATAGCCCAAACCTCACAATAAAAAAAAAGGGTTGTCTGGCTGTCTGGTCAAATTATAGCTTTGTTTTTTTTTTGTTATCAGATAATTTCAACACAGAAGAAGGATGTTAAACAAGAAATAGAGTTATTAAAGGCGTGTCAGGGCTGCCCCTACATCATCACCCTGCACGAGGTGTTTCAGGACTCGGTAAGTTGTACATAAAATGTAATGGAATAGAAATAATCTTTATACAAATAAGGCCACTTCCTGTATCTCATAAGTCTGTAATTTGTATTTTTTTTTAAACCACGAATGGTGGGTTGATGGCAAATAAGCATACGGCCCATTGGATGATAAACGGTTACCGTAGCCTATGGTCGCTTGAACCACCACGGGTGTCTTGACCGCGTTGCCAACCCTTAAGACACCTTCTAATAATAGAAAAACCCCAAAATCAAATCAAATTATGTATCTTTATTCGTGTAGGTCTATTACAGATTATTATGATATGTGAGATCTACCGTTAGTTAGAAGTGCTTTCGAGATTAGAAGAACTGACAACAAATTTCTCATTATCCAATATTTTATTTTCTTTTTATTATCTTTCTTTCTTCTTTCTATTATTTTTCGGTTTATAATACTCGAAATCACAATAATTATTAATTGATTTGTTTCAGGCCTTCACATATATAGTGACGGAGTTGGCTACGGGTGGAGAGTTGGCGTCGGCACTGGCCATCGGTGTACCTGGCGAGAAGGTGGCTCGCCGTCTGCTAGGACAGCTGGCTCTAGCCGTACGCCACATGCATTCCAAGAACATTGTGCATAGGGATCTCAAACCTGAGGTGATCATCAACAGTAATAATTACGATAATTAAACTAAATTAAACTTTCTGACCCAAGATTATACTCTACCCCAGAAGAGATACAACAAGTATTGTAACCCTTCTTGATATATGTAAAATATACATTTTGTTTTGAGGTTTTAATGGAATGGTGCACCCGCCTGCGCTAACGGTTTACGCTGGCGGGCCACCAGTGGAGGATGATAAGATGAGCATGAGGTCAGGTCAGTTGACAAATTCACGGGGAATTTAACACGATGGTTTCCAGGGGGAACCGCGTGGAGGTCGACCTGACATGGTACATTGCTAGCAATAGGGTTATCAATCCACATTACCAACAATCCACTTCCCCCCATACATATATATTAAGAGAGGGTTACCACTATAATAAAAGTTGTATATGTGTAGTAATCTTATATATAAAATTCTCGTGTCACAGTTTTCGTTCCCATACTCCTCCGAAACGGCTTGACCGATTCTCATAAAATTTTGTGAGCGTATTGAGTAGATCTGAGAATCGGCCAACATTTATTTTTCATCCCCCTAAATGTTAGGGGTAGTCCACCCCTAAATTTTTTTTTTAAGGCAAACAACGTTTGTCGACAGCTAGTGATATATAGTAATATAAGTACAGGAGACAACAAAATATCAGCGCTGCAGATTTATCTGTAGCGTTATGCTGAGTTGGTTGCCTATTCACCATTGCGGTAGAGTCACCACCATTTCTTTTATATATTCATGTATTTCTTGTAACTCATGTATACTATGTGTCTGTAATTGTTGAATAAAGAATTTATCCCTCTACTTACTATTGTCTATTGCTGAAAACTGCATTAAAATCGTTTACGTAACATTAATAGATGTAAGCGAATATTTTATACTATGAAAAGATAATTACATAAAGTTAATTGTATTGTTTTCAGAATATCTTGCTGACGAGTTGTCGCCTCAATGAAGCTAATATTAAAGTAGTCGACTTTGGTTTTGCTCGCCGCATCCCCGAGTCTGATGAACGGCCGCGGATGATGACGCCGTGCTTCAGGTGATGATGACGCCGTGCTTATAGATCATCTTATGATAGTTCAGCTCTTAGATACAGTTTCAGTACCAAAACTAACAGATTCCCTTCTAAATCTGCCTGGAAAGAGACTCAATAGTCGTATAAAGAACTTTCTCTGTAAAAAAACTTATTATAAAACTGAAGAGTTTGTAAACATAATATAAATTATAGTATCTACAAGAACGTGATAATAATGTTTTTGTGGAAAAACTTAAAATTCATAGCGGTGACAATATTATCTGATTGCATTAAGAATGACTTATTATTGTACTCTTACTTGTTTTTGTGTAATTATTTATTAAAAAAAAAACATTTATTCAAAACAGCAACACATAAGTTTCTTGCTCATTCTTCTTGTGATGAGTCTGCGTTCCGAATGAGTGGAAGAATAAAAAAAATGACTATACCCAAGTGCATGTATTGAGTTTATTGAATAAAGATTATTTCTATTTCTATTCAGTTCACGATGGCCGTTGGTTGAATTTCACATACCTACGGTTATCAATATTAGTTTCTTGCCAGTTGCTCTCAATTGAATCTGTATACTGAACTGGACGGTAGAGAAAAAATATTAATACAAAAACTTCATAAGCAGCAAAAATGTCCTATATGAATAAATTATGTTTTATTTTATTTGAAACAAAATGACGCAGATCAAATATTTCTTTATGCAGTATATTGACTAGTAATGTATATTACAGTTTGCCATACGCTGCACCGGAAGTTGTATCCCGAGCTCGATGCAGCAGTGCCCCCGGGTATGGACCGGCGGTCGACCTCTGGAGTCTTGGTGTCATCTTCGTAAGTAGCTCGTATTATTCTGTCACATTTAAAATTAATAAATTAATTTGTAATGTGATGTCACATAAGAGGAAGGGGTCCTAGATTTCATGATTTTTACCATGAATAAAAAATACAATTTAAAATTTTATTGCGATGGTTACATAAAGTCGAATTTTACATTTCAGTACTTCATGTTGTGCGGCAAAGCGCCATTCCAACTGGCCTCCAAGAAGGAACCAATTACGGCTCTAATGGACAGGATTCGGAGTGGCAGCTTTAGCATGGAAGGTATGTAACCATGGAGAAATATATCCGTTTCACTGTGTTGATTTTGTGTCGTTGTCGTTTTGATTTTTATCTAACCTTCATCCGAAATAAGGAGCAATCAGTTGGTAGTAGCAGTGAGAGGTACGGGTAATGGGATTGCGCTTGGTCTTACCTCATCTGATGGTAAATGATGGCAAGACCTAGGACGTATATTATAGTATAAGAGATGAGATAATATGTAATGTTGTCAGGTGGTGCGTGGAGTTCAGTGTCGAGTAACAGCCGGCGACTGGCTCGGTCTCTGCTGAGTGTGGACGCGGACAGCCGGCCGCCTCCCGCCTCGCTGCTGCTCGCGCTGCACAACCACGCCGCGCCCACGTTCCACCTGGCGGTATGTATGACGGTGACAGCCGGCCGCCTCCCGCCTCGCTGCTGCTCGCGCTGCACAACCACGCCGCGCCCACGTTCCACCTGGCGGTATGTATGACGGTGACAGCCGGCCGCCTCCCGCCTCGCTGCTGCTCGCGCTGCACAACCACGCCGCGCCCACGTTCCACCTGGCGGTATGTATGACGGTGACAGCCGGCCGCCTCCCGCCTCGCTGCTGCTCGCGCTGCACAACCACGCCGCGCCCACGTTCCACCTGGCGGTATGTATGACGGTGACAGCCGGCCGCCTCCCGCCTCGCTGCTGCTCGCGCTGCACAACCACGCCGCGCCCACGTTCCACCTGGCGGTATGTATGACTGCTGCTCGCGCTGCACAACCACGCCGCGCCCACGTTCCACCTGGCGGTATGTATGACGGTGACAGCCGGCCGCCTCCCGCCTCGCTGCTGCTCGCGCTGCACAACCACGCCGCGCCCACGTTCCACCTGGCGGTATGTATGACGGTGACAGCCGGCCGCCTCCCGCCTCGCTGCTGCTCGCGCTGCACAACCACGCCGCGCCCACGTTCCACCTGGCGGTATGTATGACGGTGACAGCCGGCCGCCTCCCGCCTCGCTGCTGCTCGCGCTGCACAACCACGCCGCGCCCACGTTCCACCTGGCGGTATGTATGACGGTGACAGCCGGCCGCCTCCCGCCTCGCTGCTGCTCGCGCTGCACAACCACGCCGCGCCCACGTTCCACCTGGCGGTATGTATGACGGTGACAGCCGGCCGCCTCCCGCCTCGCTGCTGCTCGCGCTGCACAACCACGCCGCGCCCACGTTCCACCTGGCGGTATGTATGACGGTGACAGCCGGCCGCCTCCCGCCTCGCTGCTGCTCGCGCTGCACAACCACGCCGCGCCCACGTTCCACCTGGCGGTATGTATGACGGTGACAGCCGGCCGCCTCCCGCCTCGCTGCTGCTCGCGCTGCACAACCACGCCGCGCCCACGTTCCACCTGGCGGTATGTATGACGGTGACAGCCGGCCGCCTCCCGCCTCGCTGCTGCTGAGCGTCGACCTCGACCACTATCGTCCATGTCAATGAGAATTCATTCGTCATGAGAAGTCATCGGACATAAATATTAATAATATTTCAGGACAATTCACGCAGCGCCATCTAGTCCTAAGCTAAGCAAAGCTATGATAAAGAAGCATAAAGTATATGGATACGAGACAAGTGATATAAATACATAGATGATATTTTTTCTGTAAATAGTTACATATTATATATAGAAAACACCCAATACAAACTATCATAATAATGAATATAAATGTTTGTGGCGTGCGAGGAATCACACCCACGCACTTCGATAGTAAAGCGGAGTGGTATACCGCTAGATAACCGAGGCCGTCGTAATTATATTTATTTGTTAATTTGTTATTTTAACTCATATATTCAAATCTTATACTTGTGATTGAATTATATTTTTCTTATAACTTTTGTTTAAGCATTAAAAAGGTATTTTAGATGCATTACATGATGTTAGAAAAACAAGACGTTGTGTCTGTAAATAGATTTATAGACATATTACAATATATATCTGTTATATGTCTGTCTATGTCTGATTTTATACCTTTATTACTGTTTTCCTTAAACTACCATCTTGTGTTTCAGGATATGACCAAGGCGGAACTATACAAGCGGCGCAGCAAGAACAAGCAGCGGTCCTCAAGTGGGTCGGAACCTGGCACGTCACAATCAGAGCCTACCTTCGAACCCGACGAGGTCAAAGAATCCTCCTTACTCGAAACAATCGCGAACCTCAAAAATAGAATGAATAAGAATTCAATAGAAAATGACGTAGAACTAATCAAAGCAAACACACAAGACACTCCCGTCGATGAAACAACGGAGCCGCAGTTCGACGAGGATGATATACCCTCAGTAAAGCCAGTCGAAAAGACATACGCTAAATCTAGGTCGAAATTGGACGACTATATCTACGTGGAGAGCAGTAAAGGTCTCGACGGTACAGAAGTAGCGTTCCCGAAGGCCACACGCAGCACCAAATCCAAAGAATCTACTTCCCCCGTCCCTAGAAAACGTAGAAAAGTTGATACCAGACAGACCAAGAAAGCAGAAGTCAACGAAGAGAGATCGCTGAGGAGTAAAGTAGAAAACGGTAGAAAAGTTAAATCTAAAACTCCTCCACCTCCCAAACGGGTACTTAGAAACAAGAGTGTGACAGAAAAGAAAACTAGAGCAACCAAAGAATCTATTGAAAACGAGAAAACAGTTGTAACTAGAGCGACCAGGAAACGCAAATTCGAGGAAATAACTAAACCCGTATTAAGGGAGAAAGGTCAAAACGGTCGGGCGACCCGAAAAAGTAGCTCAGAGAAAGCTGAGACTACTAGAAAAATAGCAAGAGCTAAAAAGACTAAAGCAATGAAGCCGCTAACTCTAGAAATACAAGAGCAGAATGTCCGCATGACTCGTTCTAGAAGAAGGCGATTAGAGATCAGCCTCTCGCCATCGCAAGTGAAAAGTGTAGTGCCGGCGTTCTCATTCGAATCGGACCGCCGTATCGACTCAATCGAGAGCAATCGATCGTCGAAATTAAATACCAAAGCGACCAAAGCGAAATCGAGCAAAGCGAAGACGCCCGTAAGGTCTACACGCTCCCGCGCGAATCGAAGGTGAAATATCGAGTAATCGAATAATCGAATAGTGATGGAGTACGGACGCTTTGCTCAGGCATAGATTAAACAAATGGATACAAGTTATTTATTCAAAAGAGTTAGTTATATAAACGTAGTTAGCAATCTAATATGTCGCGTAATGTTTTATTTTTTAATTCCTTTATTTAATGTTACTATTAATTTTTAAGACACCTTCTTTCCGATTGGGTCTGTGCTGATTTGTCGGGACTTGGCTGGCATTTTTTTTTATGTTAAAAACTTTGTGTACATTAATCGTGATGCACTCTTGTTACAAGCTGGCACATGTCTCTTTTATTACCATTAGATTTAATTTTGACTATAATTTAATAGATTAAATTAGGTTCAATCCGAGTGGAATGTTTTAGAAATATTAGGCGTCCAATATAAACTGTTGATTATAAAAATAAAGAGAAAATGAAATAAAAAATGCTAATAAATTTAATATTATATCAAATATATACATATGTGAGTAATCTAAATTATCAGGCTAGTCTTTTATATAGAAAGTTATCGCTCCTTCCTGCTTTGGTAATGTGTAAAAGAAATTATAACCAAATATAAAATAATTCTGTTTTTCTAAAATGATTCATTTTGATTGGACCTACATGTTTTAGGTTAATAGGATGTGATTGCACTGTTCCAAGCTATCTCCAATTTGTTTATTAAGTTTGTCCGTCTCTATGTTATAATGTACAGTCAGCAACATATAAATATACAAGTCTGTGGTGATCAAATTAGACATAAGTATGATATCAACAATTTCTTGATCTATTAATTGAAAATTTGTTGTAAAACCGTAAATTTATCCATTTAAGTCATTTAACAAACATCAAATTTACCCACGAGTTCTATATTTAACCTAAAATTAATTATATACCTAAAAAAATTTAAAGACACAAAATACATTTATTTTATGATTTTTAAATTAACAGTTAAATTCATTTGTGTAATCAATCATAGTCGTATATTTATCTGCAGTTAACTGTACTTTAAAAAATCGCAATTTATCGCACGTTCGAGTTAAAGCTACGCGTACGACTAATCGCGGAATCGGTTGCGACAAACTTACAATTGTTTATTAGAGGCCATTCGATTGGAAATATATGAAATTGTTATTTCCGATTTGAAGTTCTATAATAGTCAAATATTAATGAAAATTATTTCACCCTTATTTCATTATTTTTCAACCTGGAATCTTTCGTGCGGAAGTTGTCCCCAGACTGTGCCCTGCCCATTTGCGACAAAAATGGACGACGAAATCCTTTAACCTTTCGTGTTTTCTTCATATTCATTATATAAGGCAATCAGTCTTATTCTCTGAATTATGCAATTGATTTTAACGTTTTTAGCAATAGATAGAGTGATTCAAAAGGAAGATTTTAAAGTTTAATATCTGCATATTAAAATACAGAAAAATGGATAAATTTAAAGATATAGGGGCGACTCACTGTATGTGTATATATATGTATATTAATATCATATATCTTAAACAAAAAATAGTCAATATTCATTTATAGCATATATAGGTACATTACCAGCAAATAATATATGTTATATTTGTAATATATAACCTATATTTCTAATATATACTAGAATAATTCCTAAATCAGTGCAATGGTTCCAGAATGGACTTTCCTCATCACAAGTTCCGGTCATAATATGAGTATAGATAATGAAATAATTTTCATTAATTCAAGAGATATATATTTATATATATTAGCAGATCTCTTTCCTTTATATACTTAGGTTATTTGTGTGTGTATATTTGTTTTAAATCTAGCGTAATAGTAGAAATTGTAAATGTTTTGGTATTATTTAATGGAAACGTTTTAACTTGACGAATCTTAACTTCCACATTGGGGCTTATTACAATGTCATATATATAGGAGTTATATCTATATAAACTATATATTATATATATGGTGTTTATAAACATTGACGCACTTTCAATGTTTTTTAAATATATATGTATTGTTTAATATCATCACTTTGTTTCTTACTTCACTTTGATCGATGGAGTTATGTATACCACATATATGACTGTCTAATTTATATATACATATATATATGTGATAATGTAGTAATCCTCGTTGATATGTTATCATATATATATATGTAAAGTGTGGTGAAAGTGCCAAAATTACAAGAAATTTTGTTGTTTGAATTGTAACTTTATATAAATTTTGGTTCTTTTATTTATTTTTTTTCATTTTTATTATCAATGTCCTTATTATTATCTTCATTTATTCACATTTTCCATTTCTAAGCGCTTTTACCAAAAAGATATGTTTTTTTTGTTTGTTTTCGATTTAATACACTGTAAATATTTAAATAATTAATAGAATTTAGTACAAAATCGGTGGAAGATTATTCGTTATTTATATGAAAAAAAAAATGTATTTAATAATCTCAAATTATCAAATATTTACGTGATTGAGTAATAAAAGCGCGATATCGTCTCTTTGGTTTTGTGAATTAAATAATTTGGTTTGAGATTCACAACTAGAAACTGTTAATTTTTAAATTAAGATAAATGAAATAAAAGCCTTTTAATTACTATATGAAAATTATTAAAAATGCATTATTTTATTTAAATCAAATAAAATAATATAAAACACAATCTGTAATTGATTGGAAAAATAAACAAATACAATTAACTATGAATGCGCTTAAAACTTTAAATGCAGTAAAGTTATACTGTGTCACCTAATTTTGTCGATTATTATGAATCATATCACCTATTATGCAAATATCTGAAGTTTCTAAACTAAATATTAATTTTAAAAAATGCAGTCATAATAATATATTTTCAGTTCTTAAGTAATAGTATGATTTATAAAGAAAGAACTTGATTTCGCTATAATTAAAAACCGTTACTTCGTACGCTTGAAATTTGGTTTTGATAACTTCAGGATTTCCATGGTGGTCATTTGTCTGATTAAATAATGAAAACTACATATATATTAGATTATTGACTTTTAAGTATATTTGAACTTTATTTTTGTTGTTATCCTTAAAAGTAATACGTCTAGTATATTTGTTAACAGTATTATACGTTACATTGTTATTTATAATGTTAAAAATGCTCAAAATTGAGGGTGTGACGGGAAGTCTTGAAATTAAGGATCAACCTGTCGAATATGTTGGTTATAAAATAATAAATAGTAATAATTATTGATAGGAAACAAAGCGATTACACTCCGTCGACTTTCAGTTGTTGATCTTGTGAATAGTTACTGCCCGCCAGAAACTAAAATACCTTTCCTAATGATCTGGAAGAATGGCGGTCCTCCACCGGGCGTTTTTCTAGAAACTTTTTGCCACGCACAACCACTTGTGGAATCACCTTCCAGCAATGGTATTTCCGATACGATATTGAAACCTTCAAGAAAAGAGATCTCTTAAAAGCCCGGCAACGCTCTTGCAATTGCACTGGTGTTGTAGGTGCATATGTACGGCGGTAATCACCATCAGATAAATGGCAAGCTCGTTTATGCTATAAAAAAAATGTCATATGCTAGACTTGTATAGAATTCACAGAATATTATCCAGAGTGGTGAATGACAAGAGATGGAGTGGAGTGGAGTGAAGTTGTCCATCATTAGATATTTTAATAGATTTTAACACTTAACTCTATTCTCAAATACCACCTTTTTGCGGACTACTCTAATGCTATTATGTCTAATACCATAACTGAACGCCAACTCCCGCCTGATAGATACGATGAAATACCACCAAAAATTTTATAAATTTTCAACAGAATTTTTCTTATCGTAATACATTAAAAAATACACATACTAATGGTTCAAATAGTTTTTAGGTTGTTTTTAGCATTATAAACTGGCTGATGTAATGAATAATACTAACCTAACCTGGATAATACGATATCATAATACTAGTCTTGTAACCTAGAAGCACACGTCAATTTCTGGCTACTATCAACAGCTTTACTCTATTATAATCATTCATCAACTCTTAAGGATTTCAGTCAAATTATAATTATAGAAATTGTTCGATTACGTGTGCAACTAGATCGGTAATTACGAGTGTTTTGTTTTAATTGTAAATACAATTAAATGTATTATAATATATAAATATTATATTACGTAGCTCGAGGTCGGAACTATTGTTAATTGTTAGTACATACACTGCATCACAATTATATATATTTAATACTTATTTTTTAAACTTTTACTTTTAATACGCATTGTTAATATAGATAAAACAGGTTTTAACATGAATAATTTTATGATAAATAAAGATAAAAAAAAAGTCGAGAGGTAATTCTCGACGTTTCGACTAGGTTGCACTAGCCAAGGTCAAGAGCTGACCGGAGTAACAATATTAATAATATATATTTAAGTTACTATTATTATTCGACTTCGAAAAATTGTTTCTATATTATTATTTATTAGTTTTTTTACCTGATTTCGATACTATAATCCACATGATGCTTTATACGGAAGTAGGTAACAATAATAAATAAATTTTTATAACTTAGTTCCGCCTTGGTAGCGTAAATATTCGACTTCTGTTATAAATATGAAAATATTATATATTGTGTAACTGCTATATAGAAGCTTATAAATGGCGATGAATGTTGAAAATTACGATATACATAATTTATACATAAGATTTGTCATCTCCATCAATTTATGTATATAAGACCACAATGTTACAGCCGAAAGTATTTCAATTATTATCTTCCAACTGGATTCTTTATGCCTATTTTTTTAATCACAATTCTGTTTTTACAACTAGCAACATTTATACATTTTGTTTAAGGGCAAACTCAGGTATAATTAGACAATTATAACATATTTATAATGTGTTTATGAATTATGATTTTTGTAAAGACTTTATTTAGTGTTAGAAATTACTTACAATAGCTTCGTATATATAAGACAGTTATTTATTTCATATAAATGTCTTGTCTTTTATTCATGAGGTATTAATTTCATTTGCTGGTAATTTGACTTAATAGTTTTCACATTTCTATTTTTTCACATTTCAAATTGTAATTGTTGTACTTTCGGATGTAATAGGATATGTCGTTGTGTAATAATGAATATAACAAGGCAATGACTCAATTAGCGAAACGCTTACAGAATCCACAGAGGTATAGGCTTTTCACAAAAATACTTTGAGAAAAGCTTGTAGATACACCGATATGTTTAATCTGTGCATTCTTAATAAAATTGAAGAACAGTATCTGTTGTACCTATTAAAATATACATCACAATAGTATAGACTGTTTAAATATGATTGATTCAAACGGTATAGTGCAGGTATTGGAATTTGTATTTAATTTCATTGGAATAAAGTTAATTGTATACATTTATGATGTATGTTTTAAAAGCCGTAACGCCCTGGAAGTTTAAAATTTCCAATCGCTTAAATAGCGTTTAGCCTTCACGTATAAGTCAAGACGTTTGTTAAAGTGCACTTAAAATGGAATGAACCAAAAGATATATATATATATATATTATTATATATAATTTTATAATAAAGTGTTAGAAGTTTATTGTGTAGTCGGCGTTAAAACAAATTTTGTATGACGTTACATGGAGATGCCGGCCGGAGATATTGCATTGTAATAAATATACCATTTTAACATTATACTTCCGTTTTATTGTACTCTGGTACTTCCGTAAAAGTAGATGAGTCGGCTTCACATATAAAATAATAACATACTGTAACATCCCTGAATTCGCACAGCGATATGTCCCTGTAAGCAGAGGTTGTGTTATGGGTACTAGATGATTGATGTAATAACTTAGTTTTTTTTTAAATACATAATGTACGCAGAAAATATCCAGGCTGCTACAAATATTAATACATGTGTTTGTACTGTACGAGGAAGCGAACATGCGACCATTGGAAGCAAAGCAGAGGTAATATGATGGAATAGTGCTTCCTACTGCTAATGGTATAGCATTGATGAGCAATGATATAGTTGTGAGACTGGTTCATCATTCCCTTGCCTTTATACCATTACTTGTCGGCCTACTTTCAATAAATGATAATGGAATAATCCTGTCGATTTCACTAACGGTATACACCATATAGGCATAGCACCAGTGAAGGATAATGCGATGATGAACTCAGGTCTTTTAGCCCATCTTGGCAAATTCCACAGGAATTAAACATTACGGGTTATGTATATCTACACAAATCATGTACCGCGTGGAGGTCAACCTCAAATAGTGCATTTGTGCCACTATACTAGACCCCATATACGATACATATGAATAATCCCTCTCCTATTGCCGTATTGAAATCGTTCATCCAAATTGGCCTAACTGTCCTTTCACCTGTCAATTTGTCAGCAATAGTCAGCATGTAGCTCCTAATTAATTACAATTCCAAGTCACTATAAAACTGTATAAACTTGTTTCTGATCTTGTTTGACTGAAAAAAATATGTAAATATTTATGACATAGCATAGACACAAAATATGACAACGATGAAATGTTGCCATATTATGTCGTAAAATATGTGTAGTTCTGCGAGTTTTTGATTATTATCTGAATACACTGTATATTTGATGTTTTTTCTCACTAGAAAAAATAACTCTATGATAGGGGTTGTGGCATAGTGGTATACTGTATTGAGTCGGGACTCCCAACTTACAATTAAAACATTGTAAGCCAAGACCACTTTATGTGTCTATTTATATTTCTGACTGGCTCTCAGGTGAAGGAAACACTCGACACTAGGCTCGCCTCCTGCCACTGGGTTTAAAGCAAAGAGTAAAGTAAATGTACCAAAGTTTAAACATACTAGCGAATTATGGGCACACAACACTTAGTGTGTTGCGTTCACCATGACGTCGACATATGATAATGTCTTTGATATGCCTCTGAAGGTCTTGTTTAGAAGTATCTGTTTTGTAAGTACTTACCTGTCTTTTCACGATACATCGCGGGAGAGATAGTGCTTGCAATCGTGAGGGATTACATTTAACTTTTTTTTGTTTACTCCTTCGCACGTGTTTGCGTGTATTGTGTATGTTACTTCACTTTCTTATGAAAGTGAATGAGATATTTTATTTTCTATTTCACACATTTTATTTTCCATTCACGTAAGATTTATAAATTGTCCATAACTCTATAATTATGTTTTTGCTCCATAGTCATTTTCCAATTATTTATTAAAAAACTAGCCCCGCACTCCGACTTCACACGGGTGTACATGTACTATACATATAAACCTTCCTCTTGAATCACTCTATCTATTGATAAAACTGCATTAAAATCCGTTGCGTAGTTTATAAGATCTAAACGAACAGATACTGAGCGTGACTTCATTTTATAATATGTAAAGAAGGCACAAAAGCACTATTGAGGAATGCGGGAAAACGCTTACTGGGACACACGCGGTCTTTCTCGTTCTCTTTGTCTACATTTACATGCACTTTATTTCGTATGTGAAAGCCTATTCCCGCGTAAAAGAGCGTACGTGTAAAGGCAGTTAATGTCGTACAGGTTCGCCCATCGCCTAAAAGTATTTTCACAAAGGGGAAAAACGCAATGTATAAAATATTTAACATGACTAAAATTGATACTATGTAATTATAAATAAATATGTAAAATTCAAATTTTACTTGATGTCATTGTTTCCTTATTTTGTTAGGTAAATATAAATAATTATTATATATTTATAATTTGGAGGCGTAGTGATTAATCATGTTTCATTTTAAAATATTTGTTATCTTAGTAGGAATTTTATTTAGTTCTTGGCTACACTGAGAATGGCACTGTGGCAAACGTCAGTGACAAATGTCGGATATTGTGTTATAAAAAAATAATTAATTTGTCGACGTTTTGTGTTATTAATTATGTGAATAATGAGATTAAAGTGTAAATAAATGTTAGAATAGTGTATAATAGTGATTATGGCGCATAGTGGTGGTGTCTTAAGCTCGGATATATCTAGACGAAATCCACAAGATGAATACGAGCTTATTCAGAGGATTGGCTCGGGCACCTATGGCGATGTGTATAAGGTAGGGGGCCTTTCTAAACTCTTATTTTCCACTAAATTCTCTACATTCCTAGCTATAGGTCCGATTGATTGTTAACAATTGTGATGTGTAATGATATACCCAAGTAAACTGATTCTTTGCGGGAGCAATGTTAATTTCATATGTCAGGTTTTCGTTCATTATTGCGTTTCGATTTGTATTATCAGTTTATTGGAGCAGGTGTATTTTTGATAAACAACACGTGTATGCGTATGTTAACCTTGGTAATGTAAATTCAGTGTAAAATTTCACTAAACACTTAATATTCAGATCACATTAGCTGCCTCAGTAATGTTGCATTCTATTGTTAGTTTCCTTATAAACAAAAGATAAGGGTTGATTGTGGTTTGTGAATATATTTCTGCCTTTATCACTGTTGTGGGATGCAGACATGTTGAATTTGTTATTGCTATTTATTTAACTTTGGTTATAAAAATACAAGACAAAATAACCAGTTAAAATAAACTGAATAATTTTCCTAATGAAGCAAATTAGAATATTAATTATTATCAGTAAATATCATTATTAGCTGAATATATATGTATACATAGATGTTCAGTAAATCTAACAAATAACAATGTTTCTTTATATTCTTCCTGAGAGTAGGTATGTAAGTTTTAAAGATTAAATAATAAGCTAACATAGACAATTATATAGCAGATAATTATATATTATATACTGTTAGAACGAGGTTTGCAATCGATGTTTAGACTGGCTGGTATGGCAGATGAAGTATGTTTGAATATTTGAAAAGAGAGTGTGTTTTGTCATCTTGTCTGTCGTCGTATTGATGTATCTATAACTTATCTGTATATTGTATTAAATGTGTTTTTATATTATTTTATTTTGATTAGAAATATATTTTGTTTATCTTATTCTACATTATTTACTTGAACACCACTATAGTTACTCTGTTAATGTGAGAAGTTCAGAGGTAACTTCCCCTCACATATACTAATGAGGATTCCTTAAATATTATAGTACTTATTTCCTTACAAATAGTAAACAATGTCTACTTTGGGATAATTTGGTCACATAAGTCTGTGCCTACACTTGTAATATTTCTGTTAACACTTGAGTCCCTATCATTAGTACCTCTCCAGAAAACATAGATTTAAGTTAACTGTAAAATCAGTCTACATTATGACTCCACATCAAAGTACATGTTACTAATAAGCCATGTAGCACACTATCCAATAAACTTACTGATGTACAATGAATAGTACAATTATGTAGTGATACCTCATCACATAATATATAATGCTACAGTGATGAGGTGATACCACCACACTATAAGTTACTCTAAGGCCAGTATGATATACATAAACATGTATATTATACATAAAATACTAATATATAAGGTTTTGATGTGTTCATTACCTCATAAATTTGATATGGTGTTATGACCATGGTGGACATTTGGGGAGAGCAATTGGGAGTGGGTTTAGTGAGGGGAAATTGCAGTTCAGGGGTTGTGGGAGAACTTTTAGCATATTCATTTTTTTTATATTCTGGTAGAGTTTGAAGTTTAATTTGTTAATTAATTATGGCATAATGGGTATACAAGATGGCAATTTAGTGTTTTTAGGGGATAGCTAAATAGCTAATATATCCTCTAAATAGTGTAAGTATGTAATAAAATTATTATGTGTGTGATTTACATACTAAAAAAGAAGCTTAACACAGTATAAAAAAACTAGTGGACATTGGCTGTGTAGTTGGCATTGGTCATGGCCCATTGTTTGAAATTTGACTAGAATTATTTGTCATTCAGTAAAACTAGACAACTAATGTTAATTTATTATCAATTTGACTACAAACTTTAACAATAGACACAAGAATGCATAAGAGTGTATGTGTCAAATACAAACAAATGGTAGTGAGTTTAATGGTTTTTAATGATTTAATGTATTTTTATGTATAATTTAATAAACATATTAGTATTCTGCATTCCCTTTCTATTTTTACTATAAGTTTGCAAAATTTCATACTCCTCCATCCATACAACTTTCTTAAAAAAGGGTACAAATGTTTTTGCTTCACATATTAGTATAATATAAATAATCTTTATTCTAATAAACTCAATGTAAGCACTGTCATTTACAGTCTTCAGTCAGTCTTGTTTGTATGGCAATTTTTTTGTTATTCTGTCACTAATTCTGAATGCAAACTCATCACAAGAAGAACGAGCAAGAACTTGTCTATTGCACTTTTAAAAAAATGTCAATACATTTTAAAAAGTAGGTAGTCAAATTCAACTTCAAAATCATTTATACATGTAGGACATTTTAGCCACTTACGAGCATGAAATTTTTACATTATAATTTTAATTTTTCATACTCATCTAGTAATTACATAATTAGCACATAATCTTACCTTGTTTTTATTTGATAACTGATTTATTAATGATAAAGCTGTAATATTATGTAATAATAGATAATCAAATATCAATAACAACAGTATTAATTTGATAGTTTAAATAACAATTACCAGATACATACAACAGTAATATCTTTGCAAAAATAAAATTTATGATAGCAGTGAGTATTTTACATCTAAGAATAGAATAGAATAGAAAATCATTTATTCAAATAAACTTACATTGAAGCACTTTTGAATAGTCATTACATTTTTTTTTAATCTACCGCTCGTTCGGAAAGCTGTCTCATCACAAGAAGAATACAAATAAACAAACATGTACAAGCTCATTTGAAAAGAATAAGAGCTGAGTCTTGTCAATTCTTAGCCAGAAAGCAGCTCTTATGAGGACTGAGAACTCATGGTAGAGTTTGTCTGAATTCTAATATATTACAATTCATGTAGCTCTATTACTGTTACTGTGTGGAATATAAGTTTGGTACTAAATTATGTTTTGTTTTTTGAAATATGAATGTTATAACGGTTTAGGCTGGGTACTAATGGTGGATGTTAAGATGAACATGAGGGATTTTTTTTTTTTTATACCACAGGTGGGTACGGCCCAGATATGGACGCCTGAAACACCAGGGACTAATTCACTAGTGAATTAATTTGATAATTGATGGTTTATAGTGATGGTTTCCAGGCGGATCGTCTGGAGGACAACTTAAAATAGTACCTGACAATGTTTAAACAGAAAATTAATATTACGGTAATTTTAACTGAGTAATTATAAATACAATAAATTGAAAAAGAAGTTACAACACTTAACTTAAAAACAATGAGACCTACATTCATAATGTTTAAATTTCTTACTGTAAAAGTTTTTGTGAACATCATTATGCAATTAGCATTTTGTTTTCAGTGTTACATAACAATAGAAGTATATACATTTTGGTATCCTTATGTTACATATTTAGACAGCATTGTGGTTTTTTTTTTTAATCTAAAATTTATTTTGAGGTTTTTGATTTTAGCATTGTAGTGATTTACTACTCCAACTTATGTACTAAAGGTTGTCAGTTCAGGTCTGGCCAAAACTAAAAAAAATAATGTTAATAATGTCTGAGCTCAGTTGAATTAAATATCAACAAAATATCTTTATTCCTGTATGTTCATTATAGTCAATTGCAGTCTTGTGTTATGTTAAATCTGCTGTCAGTTCGGAGTGCTTTCTAGCTAATAAGAACTAGCAAGAAACTCAGCTCTTACAGTAGTTTATTTCTAAACTTTATTAAGGGTATTGATATTAAATAAAGCAAAAAAATTGAGACTATAGTAGGCCCGCAACCTACCACAAATGCTGCGTTCACCACAACATTGTCATTATTTTATGGATGACTAGCTGTCTAGGCAAATGTTGTTTTGCCTTAAAATAAAAATAAAAATTTAGGGGGTGGACTACCCCTAACATTTAGGGGGATGAAAAATAGATTTTGGCTGATTCTCAGACCTATTCAATACGCTCACAAAATTTCATGAGAATCAGTCAAGCCGTTTCGGAGGAGTATGGGAACGAAAACTGTGACACGAGAATTGTGTATATAAGATAATGGAATGATGCAACCGCCCTAAGAAGGCGGGCTGATTATATAATGGACTGGATAACTATGGACAAAAGCAGAGAATATTGGAAAAAGATGGAGGAGGAGGAGACCCAAAGATGGGTTCATATTCACAAATAATATAATTTTATAGTATAGTAGGCACATAAAGCCACCTACATTTCTTTTATTAATTAATGTTTTTTATCTGTATCTCATGTATGGTATGTTAATTGTTGAATAAAGAATTTATCTATCTATATACATGAGACAGAAAAAAAAATGTTTACTTTTATTTGGTAAAACTGTATCCATTAGGATATGGAAATATTTATTAATATTATTATATTATAAACTGGCCTCGATCATATTCCGTTCCCTTTATTGTGTCTAAATGCGTTCTACAACTGCAAACGGTTATAGGACACGTAATTTCTAAGTTCATTAACACCTATGGTCAGCCGAATCAACATTACGGAATAACCATGAGTCACCATGAATCCTCTCAATTTGAATTAATGAATGCCACAGATAACCTACTAGCTGTTACTAGTATATACTATTTCAAATCTTCCTTATGCTTCTAAACTAGTATATTAAAGAGGAAAAACTGTTTTCTCTACATTCACCACTGTTATCCTAAATGGGGTAGCCAGAGGCATTGTCAACTGTCGATGTTATTGGAGAACGGGGTTGTTAGTTATGTGGACTGTTGACGCCATTGCAATATGCTACGTCAGGTTGGCCTCCACGCGGTTCTTCCTGGAAACCATTGTGATATATTCCGGATGAATTTATCACGATGGACTAAATAACCTGATCTTATGTTCATCTTATCATCTTCCATTGATGCCCCGCCAGCCTATACCGTTAGCGCAGGTGTGTACATCATTAGCAGTGCACATTTGCCATTTCAATTATATAAAAAAAGACGTGTAAAGTTTACAAAATGACAGACAGACGGACGAGTACGTAAGCCTTATTTATAATTCACGCTATGTGCTTCCTGCGAATTAATAC